CTTCTACATTTAGTAGAATTTTATTTTCTCCAAAATATTGAGTTAAAAAAAAATAAAAGTATGCCATTTTGAATCTTAAATGGTAAAAGTTTTTTGTTCCACGAGTTATTTTTTAATTTTGGCCCACATATGAAAAGTTTGGACACCCTGAACAACAAACTGGTCTTTTTTAAGCCTCTTTTCTGGGGTCCAGTTTTCCCAGGAATCCCTTGACATGACAGAAAAGGGGATTCCTGGAAATACTGATCTTGGGGGTGAGGCCCAGCATCAAGACCACCAGGAGCCCCAGGACCAACATGTGGCAGACTGGCTCAGTCTAAAATATGACTTTAATAAATTGTTTTTCATTTTAATAACTTGATTGTTGTTTCATATTTTATGTTTTCTACATTAAATAAAGATTCAAAACTTGAGTCCAAGCCTTCTGTTGTTTCTGATCTGGATTCTTCTTCAGCCCAACATGAAGCTCCAGGATTGACAAATTCATTCAGGTCAGTCTGTGCAGCTGCCCTGGACCGTTTGGTAGTAATAAATACTTTTTTACCTGGTACTTCCTGGGTACTTACCTGTATCGTGTACTGCTCCCATATGTATTTAGGTCAAATAAGTCCACTGAGGCAGGAGAACCATGACTCCTTAAATAAACTGTAGACTTCAGACAGATTATAATCCAGAAACTGCAGCGATGACCTGTTAATCCAGATGCAGACAATATATGGCCCGTGGGCCAAAAGTGGCCCATGGACTATCTCCACCCGGTCCCCAACATCCTTAATTGAAAATAAAATGTTTTAATAAGTTGATGAAAACCTGCTTTTTAAATGAAACTTGGGGAAGTCCAAATGAAACAGCTTAACATCAAAAACCTTTGAATTCAGACAACTTCTTAATTTTTAGTTGTGTTTCCAGAACTAGACTGGACTCAAAAAAATCAAACGTTAATTTTTTTTTTCATATTTAAGCTAACAAACACAAGAGCCAGTTTATCAAGAGTACGTCTTATTTTCATAAAGAGTATTGGGCAGAGCATTTTTTTTAATCAAGCATGCTAATTATGCTAAAAGAAAAATGTTTAAATTTATATTTGAGAAAATTAATTTTTCAATTCTCTATGCCGCCCTTCAGTTACTTTAAATATTTTGATTCGGCGTTAATCTGTCACCATTTGTGTTCCAGCTTAATTTAACACAACAACAAAACTCAGCATCAACTCAAGTTTAAACAGATTCTGGATTAATAAAAAACAGTTTTGATCAACTACATTTGTTCTCGGTCCATCCACCCAGAGGTGCTGCAGCACCCTCCATCTCCTCCTTTCATCCAACAGGAGGTGCTGCTCTCCTCAAAACATCCAGAAAGTCAACTTTATAATATTTGAATTCCTGTGGCAAAATAAACCCCATTATATTAAAGATCTCAACTTGATGGTGATTAGGTGGTGGATTTTGAATCACTTCAAGATAAACTGACTTACAGCTTGGTCTAACTCCATTTAAACAGCTAGGAGGAATTGAATTTGCATTAAAACATTACTGTGAGATTAGTAGGATTCCTATAAAATTATCTTATTTCCACAAACAAGTTATTTCCTTCTGGAAGATGTTTACCCATAACTTTTCTCCCCATGTGTCAGCCTTATGGAACAAGAGTGATAACTGTTAACAGAAAGTTAATATTTATTAGAAATTGGTTAGTGTGTGGTATTGCTTGTATCTGAACTGCTAGAATCAGATGGTAATTTGCTAAATTTTGTCCTTCTTAAAGAAATATAATTTAAATTTACACAAAAATACCGACAAGTCTGTAAGGCCATTCCACTGGCTTTAAGACAGTTAATATACAACACTACACTACTTTTAAGTAGTCAAACCAACACTACCTAATCTAAAAATAGAACATTATAATTTATTAGATAGTAAGTTTGATAAGATTATCAATGCTAAATTTAAATCTATTCTTTTTCATTATTATAATTCAGGAAGGCATTTAAAAGCTTTTAATGGGGATCAGTGTTACATGGAAAAGACTTTCTCCAAATTTGTGGCTCGTCTCCCCAAAAATCAAAGAAACACATTTCAACATAATTCATAACATTTACCCAGAGGCAGAATTTTTAAGATGATTTAAATTTGAGGTAGACGTGTGTTCCATCTGTGACTCAATATGTGAAACAACACAGCATCTGTTTGTTTCATGTCCTGTGTCAGCAGATACACAACTGGTTATCACTAAAAACCAGTAATATCCAACAATTTGAATGATCCCAGCTCTAGTTTTATAAGAACAACCTTTAATAAGTTCTATCTGACGTGATCAACATCGTTCTTCTTCTGGGGAAATATCAGATACATTGTAGTAAGTGGAGGAATTTACTACCATCACTCACAAGGTTCAGCAATGACTTTAAAAAATACGTTTTTATACTTTAAATAATAATATTTTATTATACTTTAAACAGTACTTTTTCCACTCAGGAAGCAGAAATGGAACATTTCTGTAAGGACCTATGAAGACATTTCCCTTTTTTACTAGTTTGATTTACTCATGTAGCCTACGCTCCCATGCTGGTAGTCTGTCTTTAGTTTAAATTTACAAGGATTGTGAAATTCAAGTAACACCACCCCCCATGTTGTTTCATGGATCACGTTAGGTTTTTTACTTTTGGTTGTTGATGCGTATTCTCTACGAGTTTTGTATTATGCAAGTGTTAATAAAGTAAATAAAAACACGCCCTCCATCTCCTCCATTGATCCTACATCTCTTCAAGATCAGTAAAAGCTGTTTTGAACTCTGTGGTTGAATTTAATGTGTGAACGTTTCAAACTGATTCAAGTAATAAAGTTTAAAAAGATGCTTCAAGTTTTCTTTGAAGACATTTTTGGTGCTGACCCACTTCAGCTACAACGGTCCTAATATTTTAATAACATTTAAGAAGTGCTTATGCAAATTCTTAAAATCTAAAATGTTTTTCAACATTACCCCGAATTTAAAATTCCAGAGAAGAACAGGTCCATGTGAGGCGAGGACGAACGAGTTGAAATCATTGACCAGATAAATAAAAGTTGACGTCAACAGCTCCAAGTGTCAACAAGATGACGTCCTCTGAGGGGCCTGATGATACTGAATGTTTGTAGTTTGAGATGAGTGTTTTTCTGGACTGGAATTAAACAGAATGGAAGTAAACCAAAATGTTTTTGGAGCAACATATTGAAGTGAGCAGGACTTACACTGTGGAGAAGAACAGAGGATTTGGTTTTTCTTCCTGGAAGAGTGGAGGGAGACATTTTATCCACCAGAATCAGTGGAGGAGCCAGGGGGTGGCCAATGGTGGCCTTGGCTCACATAGATTAATATTCAGCACCCCCCATTCATTTGAGGAAATTGTACTTTTAAGCAATTTAAAACTAGAAAGCAGTTTCCTCAGATGACTGAGGCAGTCTGTTTACATTCACATTAACGGCTATCTTAGATTCTGAGGTGGCAACTTAATCTTTGATGGTGACTTTTATGACACCCTAAAACAGAAGCAGCAGTTTTTTTCCCCAAGTTATCACACTGAACAGACTGAGCATTTACTTTTTCTTAAAGTGGACAAACTGAAGCTTTGTTTAATCGAACCTATAAGAGTGAAATTAGAGAAACTGATCATTTTATTTTTTTGCTCAGACTGAACATTTATAATCTCTTGACTTTACGACGGAAAAAAAAACAAAAACCATGGGTTCCCAGTTTCCATTTTGAGATCCAGTTCTTTTTCCAAACTCAACTTTTAGGATTAGCTGTGGCTCTAGGAGCCATTGTTCACGTTCCGGTAAATATGTGTTACATTACACTCGTTTATTCCATTATTAGCATGTATTAAAGTATTTGGATAAGGAAAAGTAATTTTACTTTTACTGCAGTTTATTTGGTTTTAAAATGCATTTAGGGATAACATTCGTCTACAATACTACTGAGTTTTATTTATTCATGTATCCAGGTTTTCATACATGGCTCTGGTTGGTAAATGTTTGAAGTAGCAGCACATTAGTAAAAATACAAAAAGTAAAAACAGAATCTGACAACCAAGTATCATTTTCAGCATAGGTGTTGCAACCATTATATGTGAAGGGGACAAGTCCGCCCCCCCCCCCCCCCCCCCACATTAAAAAAAAACTTTCATTTGGACACTCCACCACTTTTACTATAAAACATTAGTTCAGGCGGCGCAGTTTATTTTTCTTCGTGAACGAATCCATTCCACTTGATTAATAGAATACTCAAACCACTAAAACTCCACCAGGTTTTCCTGGTTACCTCCAACTCTCTACCGGTCCCTTCCTGTCTCCTGCCTTGGCAGAAAACGCGCACACGTAGAGGAGATGGAGACACCTTTGTGTTACTCGCTCGCCAGTTTAGCAGCTTAGTGTGGGCAGTTGTTGACCAGGGGGTTGATCAGAAACATATATTCATGTTAGGAGGAGAGAAGTGGAGCGCTACATCTGTAGCATCTTAGCTTAGCAGTAACTGTGACGCTGTAAAACGCTGCAGGTGTAAAAGACGCTGTGTGTTCAGGTGCATTAAAGTTGAAATGTCTTTAAAACCCCACACCTTATTGTCCTCATGCTTCATGTTTTTTATTTCTCTATAAACACAAATAGTGCCGACCTGACATTAAAGTGTATTAAAGTTAAAATGTCTTTAAAATCCACAGATGAATTTACACAAACTTGGTGAGAAACGTTTTAAATGTGTGGAATTGAAGGAAATCTAGGTGAAATGCTGCTTTTTTGTTCACTAGTGAACATTTTTTTTACGTGCGCACACACGTGCACGCGCACACCTACACACATCATTGTGTCGTCCCCCCACACACACATTACGGATGCTTCTGACACCCTTGGTTTTCAGTCATGTCCGTAAACACAAACCCTGCTTGTTCTCCACTTTAAAAGAAACGATTAACGTCCACGCTCTTCAAGTGCACGTGTTTGTGCAGGACAATAATTGTGCTCGACAGTCTGAGTTAAGCAACGTTTTTATTGGCATTTCTGGAGAAGACCATTTTACAGCAGATTTAATAATTCTAGAGATAGGGAGAGAGCAGAAGTTTCTACCATCAATTACTGCCATTTCCTCCTTTTATTACCAGCTGTTTACTCAATCACCTCAGGAAAACAGGAAGAAAGCAAACAAAAATAAATCAAACCTTCTTGTAAATAAACATCCAGGATTGCATCTTTTAATTATTTAAAGGAAGAAAAAAAAGGAAGAAAAGAACAGGTTTAAAGTTTACACGTTTCCCCAATCGTTTGGTACAGAAAGGAGTAAAATAATGACGTGAGGAGGGACTGGGACGATTTATACCACTGGGAGAAAAATAAAAACAGGTCAGCTGACTCTTAACCAGTCCCTAAAAAACCTCTGAACAGAAACGGACAGACATCGACAGATGGAGAACGGTGTGTTTGGAGTTGGGGGGTGATACCTACAGCTTCCCCACCCTTTAAAAAAGGACAGAACAAAATAAACCCCACACATTTCCCAAGTGGAATTTTATGATTTATACACAGAAAATACAGACGACAATTTGTGTATGTCTGAGTATTTCCATTACGTAGATACTTATGATGGAAGAAAAGACAGACTTTGTGTTTGTCGCTCGTCCAGAAAGTCGCCTGTTGGTCCTGGTCACCAACAGCTGATCCGCTCTGGTCTGGGACCCATCAGAACCCTACAGACAGACAGAGACATGTGTTTAACACCACTGAGCCACTGAACCACAGCGCCACAGAAAGTGAAAGGCTGAGCAGCTTCACAAGCAAGTTCATGTTAAAAAGAGAGAGAGGCCCCGAGCAAAGATCCAGGAGAGAAAACATCTGGGTCTGAAAGGATCTGAAGGAGACCAGGAAAATACAGACGTCGCCATTTCAGTTACGCTGCAATGCATTCTGGGTAAATGACAGACAGGACGCTCCATTCAGCTTATGGGACAGTCAGCCCTTTAATTTACATCAGAGCACTTGACAGAGATCACGTTAGATTATTTTAACATGTTTAATTTAATTATATCATTAATAATTTTATGTGTTTACATGAACAGCACAAAGCTGCAGACAGAAACAAAACAAATTCACTCAAACATCATTTAAGTCCATCAAGGTAGAGGCAGGGCAGCAGACGTGGGACCAGAAAGTCAGAGGATCAACTCCCCACCATGCCCACATGTCGTGGTGTCTCTGAGCAGGACACCCAATCCCTAACTGCTCCCCAGGTGCTCACAGAGCTGCCCACTGCTCCACCTGGGTGTGTCCCAGGTGTGATGGGTTAATGCACAGAACTCATTTCATTGTTGTACGGGAACATACGATGATGATGATGATCTCAGACTTCTCTTCCGTTGAGTGCATCTCCATTCAATAACCGTCCTGGTCATCCCCTGCACCTCCACATGAGGGGGAAACCAGCTGAGGTGAGTCAGGCATGGGATCAGGGCGCCCCCTGGCTGCTTTTCTATGAACATCCAGCCGACCCTGACAAACTCAGAACCAGATGTTTACATACACCGTGTAAAAAGAACATCTGACTCTTGTCACCGACACTGAATCAGGCTCGCCTTTACTGGTTTACCTCCGTGAAAATTCCTGAAAGTATTTGTTTGTTAAATGCTGAAATAATGAGAATTTTTACTTCCACTGGACTGGCAGACTGGGTTGGTGGTCCACTCTTGAAAAAAAGAGGACTGGACTGGAGGGTGTGCTCCAGTGACCGGGGCATCACTCTCCTTAGCCTCCCTGGTAAGGTCCATTCAAGGGTACTGGAGCAGTAAGTCCGATCGTTGGTCGAACCTCAGATGCAACAATGCAGGTTCTGTCCTGGCTGTGGAACACTGGATCAGCTATCCTGATGCATGCTCAGCTCTTTACCCTCACTAGGGTCCTCGAGGGGTCATGGGAGTTTGCCCATCCAGTCTACATGTTTTGTGGACTTGGAGAAGGCCTTTGACCGTGTTCCTGTAGGTACACTGTGTGTGTGTGTGTGTGGGGGGGGTGCTCCATGAGTATGGGATCGGGGGCTTGTTGTTACGGGCTGGTCGGTCCCTATATAAGCGGTACGAGCGTTTGGTTCCATTGCCGGCAGTAAGTCGGACCCCTTCAGGGTGGGAGCTGGACTCCACCAGGGCTGCCCGTCGTCACAGATTCTGTTCATAACTTTTTGGACAGAATTTCTCTGTGCAGCCAGGGGGTGGAGGAAGTGCTGTTCGGTGGCCTCAGGATTCATCTCTGCTCTTTGCAGATGACGTGGTCCTGTTGGTGTCATTGTACCGTGATCTCCAGCTCTCACTGGAGCGGTTCACAGCTGAGTGTGAAGCAGCTGGGACAAAGCTCAGCACCTCCAAATCTGAGGCCATGGTCCTCGGTCAGAAAAGGGTGGACTGCTCTCTTCAGGTCGAGGGTGAGGTTCTGCCTCAAGTGGAGTTGTTCCAAGTATCTCGTGGGTTTGTTCACGAGTGAGGAAAGAATAGAGCGTGAGGTCGACAGATGGATCGGTGCAGCGTCTGCAGTATTGTGGACTCTGTAAAAAATGACCCTTTTTAGTGGGTGTATGTAAACATCTGGTTCCAACTGTAGGTTGTATTTGTTGTGTGAAGGCTGCAGCTCCTGATGATCATCTCACATTCAAACAGGTCAACTTCCACATTTCATATTTAATTCACCTGAATAAGCTGCTGAACAGGTTCTGCTCAGTCATCTGTTCAGAATGAAACAGACTGCAGAAACAGCAGTGTCTGCAGCTGCAGGGATTTTACAACAGCCGAAGGCTCCCATACTGTCCTGAAAAATAAAACGCTGCTGCAGGGGCACAAGAAGTTTTCAACACCCCCACAGCACTGACAGGTAAAGCTACAATCAGGTGTTTAGTAAAGAGTTAAAATAAGTTGAGTTCAGAGAGGGAATAATCAAATAGAAAGTGGAGTACAGGAGCAGGAGCCAGGTGAAAGCATGGATGTTGTTTTGAAGGTCTGTTGTCCTCAACACAGGAACAACAGCACAAAGTTAGTAGCCAAAGTCCCCAAGGACGTCCTTGCTTCTGCAAGACAGACCAATTGTGCTTTAGCTTAGTTGTGGGTTTATTTCTCTCCCTCTCTCACATATTTTATTAAGTTGTTGTTTTAGGGTGCCTTTTTTAAACTAATGCCACTTGGCAAAAAAAAAAAAGGTTTCCAATTTGGTGCTAATTGTCTGCTGTGAAGATGCCTGACCAAAAAAAGTCACAACCTTTTCAGTTTACACACAGGCTGTCATCCCTTAACAGCTTCCTGTTTGTTCACACAGCTTCCTGTTTGTTCACACGGCTTCCTTCCTGTTTGTTCATACAGCTTCCCGTTTGTTTAAACAGCTTCTTGTTTGTCCCCACAGCTTCCTTCCTGTTTGTTCATATGGCTTCCTGTTTGTTTAAAGAGCTTGCTGTTTGCTCACACTGCTTGTCACAGAACAGCTTCCTGTTTGTTCATACTGCTTCCTGTTTGTTTAAACAGGGTCCTGTTGTTTCATACTGCTCATCTCAAACAGCTTCCTGTTTGTTTAAACAGCTTGTCGTTTGTTCATACCGCTTGTGGGCGGCTGTGGCTGAATGGTTAGAGCAGTTGTCCTTCAATGCAAGAGTTGGGGGTTTGAATCCACCAGCAGTCACATGTCGAAGTGTCCCTGAGCAAGACACTGAACCCCTCATAGCCTCTGATGTGTGTCCCATCAGTGTATGAACGTGATAAATCACTGATTAGTGTCATTAGAATGATTTGTTCAATTAGCTTTGTAGAGATCTAGTAGAGTGCTGTATGAATGGGTAAATGAGGACACAGATTGTATGTAAAAGCGCTTTGAGTATCTTGAAATAAGATAGAAAGGCGCTATACAAGTACAGTCCATTTACCATTTATCACAAAACAGCTTCCTGATTGTTCAAACAGCTTCCTGTTTGTTTAAACAGCTTCCCGTTTGTTCATACTGCTTCCTGTTAATTCATACTGCCTGTCACAAAACAGCTTCCTGTTTGTTTAAACAGCTTAATGTTTGTTCATACTGCTTGTCACAGAATAGCTTCCTGTTTGTTCATACTGTTTCCTGTTTGTTCATACTGCTTCCCGTTTGTTTAAACAGCTTGCTGTTTGTTCATACTGCTTGTCACTAGGGCATTAACAGAGTACTCGAGTAATCTACACATCGATTGCTAGGACATCTATCGAGGTTAAAAATGTTACGTGGAGTATCCGTAGTGATGTCATAGTATGTGACCACCGTATGACCGTAGGGGCGGTGTTGCACTGTTGCAGGTCACAGAGTATGGTGTAACACCGGGTCCAATCCACCCAACCAGAACCAGTTTCCGTTTAAGAATATGGATATGGTGGTTGTAAAGGAAATAATGAGTTATGTGATTGAGCCATTACATCTGTAATTTATCATTTTCAAAAGGAATTTTCCCAGACAGAATGAAGGTTGCTAAGGTAGTTCCTCTTTTTAAAAATGGTGACAAATGTACATTTAGTAATTATAGGCCTATATCTCTATTACCACAGTTCTCTAAAATTCTTGAAAAATTGTTTATGATTAGATTAGATAAATTTCTTGAGAAAAATAATATTTTAAGTAATAATCAATATGGTTTTAGGTCAAACTGTTCAACATCTTTGGCTCTCATGGAGTTGATAGAACAAATTACTACAGCGGTTGATCAAAAACAACATTGCATAAGTATATTTGTGGACTTAAAAAAAAGCATTTGACACAATCGATCACACCATTCTGCTTGATAAATTGAATCATTATGGTATTAGAGGTCCTGCTTTGCAGTGGATAAGCAGTTATTTGAGAGATAGAAGACAGTTTGTTCAAATAGATGAAGTAAAATCTAATTTGTGCAGAACTCCATGTGGTGTACCACAAGGTTCAATACTTGGACCTAAATTGTTTATATTATATGTAAATGACTTAATTGAAGTATCTGATATCTTCAAATGTGTTTTGTTTGCTGATGACACTACTTTTTTCTGTCTGGGTAAAGATATGGAACAATTAATTGAGTTGATAAACAAGGAATTTGTAAAAATACAGGATTGGTTTAAATCAAACAAGTTATCATTGAATATTGATAAAACTAATTTTATGGTATTTAGTAAAAAAAAGATAACTTTGGATTTTTGTTTCAAAATTGATGGCATTAAAATATGTAGAGTAAATGAAGTAAAGTTTCTGGGCGTAATCATTGATGATAAACTATCATGGAAACAACATATAAATTTTGTAAAAACTAAAATATCAAAGTCCAGTGCAGTATTATATAGAGTAAGGGACTTGTTAAATAATGAAGCTTTACATTTACTTTATAATACAATTGTAGTCCCACATTTTACTTATTGTGCCAATGTTTGGGGTACAGCATGTAAATCCACAACAAGGCCTATATTTATTCTGCAAAAAAGAGCAGTAAGAATTATAACAAGAAAGAGTTATTGTCATCCTTCTAATGTTCTGTTTAGTCAATTGAAATTACTTAAGTTTTATGATTTGGTGGATTATAATATTCTTTTGCTTATGTTTAAGGCCCATAATTGTTTGCTGCCATCAAACATTCAAACATATTTTGTAAAAAGGACGAGTGGTTATAATCTAAAGGGATCAGAGATCTTTGTAAAACCTAAGTACAGAACCAGTTTGAAGGGACGCTCTACGACCATACATGGAATAGGTTTATGGAATAATTTGGAGGATGATGCAAAAATGGAGAAGTCAATGTCTACATTTAAGAAAAAGATAAAAACTATTTTGTTGGAAAAATATAAAC